CAAATTATTAAGGCCCCCATATTTCAACCCGAAAAATCACCTGAGAGCTGGAGGTGGTCGTGTCCTTGGAGAAGTATGCATGGCCTGCAACAGCCGAGGAGACGGCTAGGCGAACCAAAGTCTGGAACCGGTGGCACTCGGTTCAGGATTTGGGGTTTAGGGACCGTACTTTCGCTCATTGGCTCACAAATTGCTTTGGCAAGGATCTGATAGCATAAGCTTGGTTCACCAAGAAAACACTGTGGCGCCAGTGTCGCCACGGGCTCTGATGCTTGCTGGAGAACGAACGAGAAACGAAGGCCTGGAAGAGTTCATTAACCCCAAACCCTAAACCCCTAAACCCCGACCCCTAAACTCTAACCCTTATCCCCTAAACTCTAACCCTTAACCCCTAAACTCTAACCCCTAACCCCTAAACTCTAACCCTTGACCCCTAAACTCTAACCCCTAACCCCTAAACTCTACCCCCTAACCCTAACTGCCGAACCCTATGCAACATCATGTCCGAACCCCTACACACCTGACTATGGCAGCATCATCGCTGAGGAGCCGAAACTCAAGGAGCTTCATGACTCGGCTTGGGTTCCCCAGTAGGTCCCATAATTGGGGTTTAGGGTAATGTTAGGGTATATTCTAGCATATCAACATGTGTTATAGTAGCCCCATAATAGTGACGTTATCTGGTGCTTTGGGGTATGTTACTGTGTGGATACTAGATACTACTATATAAGTTCTAAGTACCTTACCTTTGGTTAGTAGGGAATGCAGGAATAGGGTACAATTATAACTACTATTACTTCCATTCTTCCATTCCCTACTAATCAAGGGTAAGTTACTCAGATCTCAAAACTGATTTCTAGTTCTCACTCCCAGATGCCCTGAGGCCTTTCGACATCGCTTCGAGAGAAGCAGAGACGGCTGCGGTGCTGTGCCAGCCCCTACGGGGATGGCGACTGGTGGGCTTACACACTTGCTGGCTTGACTTCCTGGATCTTGCAAACGGTGGGGGGTGGGATACTGTATCTTTGGCAGGATCCTCCTTGAATTGATCTGGGCTGCTTGCACATCCGCTGTAGCGCAGAACAGGCAAAGTTCAAGTGCTGTAGCACTGTAGCTGCTCATGACAACAGTAGGCCGGCATGGGTGACACTTGAAAGCCAATGGCCTGCGCCAGTTCGAGCAGTTGCTGCTTCGGCTTTCTGTACCAGATCCCCGGAGGATCCAAAAAGTAGATCCCCTATTTTAGGACCCTATACTACTAAAGTACTAAAGGGATACTTTGTAAAAAAAACCCTGAAGGGTTTCAGCTTTTGGATCCTGTCGAGGCAGGCACACCCCTGTAAGCCTTAAGCTTCCAAACCCCGGCCCAATGCAAGGGTGTACGCTACCAGAGATTGAAGTCTGTGGGCTAGATCCACAATCTCAAACAAACACCTTGGAAGGGGCCCCCACCCTGTAATAGTGGTATAATAGGAATATAATAGGGCCCTAATATAATCCTTCTACTCACTATTGCAGGGTGGGGGCCCCTTCTAACAAACACCCCATGAACCCAAAACCTTCAAACCTTCGGGGCTGGGGTTTGTGGATTGTAGGGTGAAGTCGCGGTGGAACCGTCCCAGGATGTCACGAATCCATAGGCAGGGTCGTGTATGTATGCCATGACAGGCGACCGAAATTAGCAAATGCTGAGCTCTCAGATGCGCACAATATACAACCAGCTAGCTCTATGCCTAGATACCCAAACCCCCAGGGAGGATCCAAAAATAGATCCTCTCGTTTGGGATCCTATACTATACTACTAGGGGGTACTTCAAAATGAACCACTTCAAGGGGATCTAGTTCTGGACTGGGTCTGTACGGGTACCGGGCCGAAGGCAGGGCATACTTGATCAGGGGAGCTTGTAAGTTAGGATAAACGTACCTTAATTGGCGCTATAAGCAATTATGGGTACAGTTGCTCTGTTTGTAACCCCATTTCAGGTTATAAGTGACTCTAGGTTTTGGTACCTTCTTCATAACGCTAGATGCTGATGTCCCTTAACCCTAAACCCTAAGCCCTAAACCTTATGCAGTCATGATCTTTTAAGGAAAACCCCATAGATCCTACAGGAGCCCCTTAAAAGAATCCTCATAGATCCCTTAAATGCTGAGTCATGATCCTTTCTCTCTTCTTCAACAACCGGGCCCCAAAAAGTTCAAACTTTCTAACATAGAGCTAATATATAAGGCCAGAAAGTTTAAAGTTCCCTCGTTCACTATCTAAGCTTTAAGATTGGCCTGCAGTTTTGAAGATTCGGGCTGGGGAAGCCGGTTGGAGTCCTGATGCACAAGTGAAAAAGCAACACCCAGGAATTCAATTTTGAGTTGAGGGTTTAGGGTTTAGGGGTTTTGGGTTTAGTCTTTAGTTGTTGGTGTCTTGTGGTTTTTTTGGTTTTAAGGCTTCGGCATCTATGGTTTGAGGATAAGTGCTTGGGGCTTTTAGGGTATATAGGCCAGAACAGGGCACTGAATCAGCCGAATAGGGCTTTGGGGTTACTCTACTATGCTTCCAAAGGAACCCTAAGAAACAATATTTGTCCTGGCTTCTACACTGTATTATCCCACGCCCTGCAAGACAGCTTGGAGTGGCACATTTTGGATCCCTCGCTGCTGCTTCCTCCTGCCTCTTTCAAAACACCTGTTTTCTGAAGGTGATGTCGGCACACACTGGCGCACAACATCCACGTAAAGCCTCTACGCCCAAAATTGGATTGAAGGAGTAGGCCCCTCTTCTTGTTGGATCCTCTACCTCTACCCATAGGCTCCATAGTCGTTCCTTTTTGGGATTACCTTACAGGATTTTAGATGTGAGCCACAAAAAGGAACTACTATGGAGCCTCCAGGTAGGGCACACTCTACTAAACCCGGTTTTGCGACCAAAGCTCCTTTCAGCTTCGGTGGCCCCGATGTCTTACACGAACACAAAGGCGCTTTCGCAATCTCTAAGGGTCCATGTGCCCAAATAGTACATACTTTGGCCCCGAAGTACCGAAATAGGGACGACCTTAAGGTCCAATGTAGATATGATTGGGGTACATGGACCCTTAGGGAATCTGGCGTATCACGTATGTGCATGCTTGTGTCATAACAAATACCGAATGGCCACCCCGGCCACCGGGGTGACTGTAGAGCCATGCTGAACCAATACACCCCGAAAGCTCTTAGGCAAAATTCACGGTATACAGACCCCAATCACTCCTCAAACTCTCGTTGAAGGTAAAAAAAATCCCTATACCCGGCACCGAAGGACAACTCCCTGGACCCCTAAACCCTAAACCCTAAACCCTAAACCCTAAACCCTAAACCCTAAACCCTCACAAAACATTGGCATTTGCTGGGTCCCAGATGTGACCATTCTCCAGCAAGGCCTTGCAGGGCTCTCTCGTTGGGAGTCCGGGCCTTGGAAACCCTAAGCTTTAACCCGAAAACCCTATAAATCCTTAAACCCTAAACCCAACAAATCCTTAAACCCTAAACCCTATAAATCCTTAAACTCTAAACCCTATAAATCCTTAAACCCTAAACCCTATAAATCCTTAAACTCTAAACCCTATAAATCCTTAAACTCTAAACCCTGAACTCAAACTTCGAAACCTAAACCCTATAAATCCTTCAACCCTAAACCCTAAAACCCCGGTTTACAAACTTCAAGCCCCCGTTATAAACCCTGCACCCTAAAGCCAAGCGACCTACTCTGGCTCAAACGCCCGATGTACCTTTTAAGGCACTACTTGGAGGATCAGGGGACTTAGTAAGGGTTCTTAAAGGGCTCCTTAAAGGGATCTATAGGATTTAGGATTTAGGATCTACTTGGAGGATCAGGGGACTTAGTAAGTCAGGCTATAAGTACCTTAATTGGGGTTATAAGTAACTATAAGTGTACTTACCTTGTTTATAACCCTAGTTACTAAGTCCCATGATCCTTTAAGTGGGGTTGCTACGAAGCTACCCAAAGCTCTCCTTGCGCAGATCTTCTTTGGCATGCTCTTTCGCCCCGTTGCTGCTCTTGCGGTGCCTGCTAGATGAGCTTTAGGGTCTCGGGTTTAAGGCTTCTGGCTTAGCACTTCGGAATCTAACGATTCAGGGTTTCAGGTTTTGGGCGCGGGGAATTAGATTTTAGTTTAATTAAGAGGGTCTCGGGCTTAAGGGATAGGATCTCGAAACCACCCGAAAGCCAAGGAAACATTCGTCAACACCCCAAGGCTTCGAATCGATGAGCCCTGAAACGGATAGTTGGGGTTTAGTGCTTACCTAGACCCCCAAAAGTAGGTAAAATAACGGTTCAAACCACCTACAAAAGGCCATTATTCTGCATACTTTTGGGGACCAGGTAGTCCAGAGCTGAAGCAGTCCCTGTTGCTTGTGCACTGCTTCGAGTCCAAGGACTTCGTCGCGCGCGTAGCCATCCCACACCCACCTTGGGACTCAATAGTAGTCCCATTCATTCAGAACCCTTGGGGCTCCAGTTGCCTTAAAAGTAGGTTACTGGGGTACATAACATGTGGGTTAATGACTTATACTATTTAGGTAATCTTTACCCTCTATAGACCCTAAACCCAACCCCCGGGAGGATCCAAAAAGTAGATCCCTTAATGGGGGTTCCTATAAAGTACCCTTAGTTAGTATAGGGCCCCAAATTAGGGGATCTACTTTCGAGATCCTCCCGTACTCTTATCAGGGCTTTACTCATGCACTTCTCTTGGCTTTTCACGGTTTGCGAGGAATTGCGGGTTGATGGTATAAGCACCTTAAGAAGGGAACAGGATTTCGGAGGAATAGTAGGTTCGAGTTCCATCAGGAACTACAACGGATCATTATTGCTAGGTGTAACGGATATTATTACTAGTTGTTCTTGCCCCTGTAGTGAGGTCATGACTCAGGCCACCAGTCTATACATTCGCAACTATGTCTTGCCAAGAGCCTCCGGCTAGTGTTCCCCGACCATAGACTGCATGAAGTTACGGAACATTCATCAAGGCCTCATACATGTTGAGTTCTACGTAGCCTTCTGGAGAACTCAAGCAGAAAAAGCAACCGAGCCGCGGATCCTTTAAGCTGTGGACACGGCCTTTTGAGTCCACATGGATCTTCCGGCTCTCCCATAGTAGCTGCAGCCCCCCCAGTGTCGTTTCCCTCTTCCTGCTAGGGCCGGGAAGCTTTTTGAGGAGCTGCTGTTTCGTCTGCATGGAGCACTGCTCCACCCCCCCCCCCCCTGGCTACCTTTCCCCCCCTGAAAGAAAGATAGCACTCCTCTTGTGAGCAGCATATGCTTCCACGTCCTCCACCCTTGGGAAGGGGCTGCCCGGTGGCCACAACTCCTTGGTGCGGGATTGGATTCGGGTTTTGGGTTCGGTCTCGGGTCTTCGGGGCTTTTTAGCGGTTTAGAGGGTTTGGGGTTTATGGGTTTAGGAGTTTTGAATTGTTCATGAGCTTTATGAATCAGGGTGTCACCATGGCTATGTGAGGGTGTTCTGCGGGTTGCGCAGTTATCGACTGGCAGCCCCACTAAATCTACTAGCCCGAAAGCGCATATGGTCCCAAGTCGTCTTCCACACGGCCTCGCCAAACAGAGGAGTAAACCCTATGTAGTCCCCAAATCCGCACAATTAATGGCAAACATATATATATATATATATATATATATATATGTATGTATGTATATATATATATATATATGTATACATATATATATATATATATAGGCATAACATCGTCATAAACCCGAAACCCCTAATTACCCGCTTAACCCTCTACTAACCCCTAAACCCATGAACCACCGAACCCCAAACCCCAGACCCCAACCTCCCCACAAGCCGAAACAACAGATGCCAAGTGAGGCGAAACTCCCCAGCGCATGCCACCGAGACTTCTCCCCGCTCCTGAGACACCACCTGTCACAGTTCAGGCGGGGGGAGGGGCTTTCGGGCTGTTTGGGTTACTTTAGGGTTTAGTTTGGGTTTTAGGCTTGAAAAGGTTTGGGATATCAGGGTTTCAGGGAGCTTACTCGTCGAGAATCTTAGGGAAACTAAAAGTTAATCGTTGGGATTACATAGGGGTTATAAGACCCCCATTAAAAAAAAAAAAGTTAAAGGCCACCCACTCTCCTACTCAATTCGGGCTCCAGGTCGGGCCTTTCCAGTCGAGGGGGGTTTATAGCAGAAGCCTAAAAGTTGGAAACACCATACAAGTAGCTAAGAGTCATGTATGGGGAATCCCAGCACTAGTTGGCCTTAATCCGGTTTCCAACTTTATGGGGTTCCTTTGAAGGGATCTATAAGGGTTCCTTTAAGGGGTAGTATAAGGGATCTAGAGGGTTTAGGGTTTAGGGGACTCCTATGGCTTTTACTGTATATGGGCTTTAGGCTTTCAGGGTTGTCGTAGGCTCCAGGCCCTGGGAAGGTATGAGATTCGAAAGCCCGGATCTTGAAGCCCAACACTCGGAAAGTGCTGCTAGCTAAACAAATTCGACGCTCTAGGGCTTTTTTAGTTTGGAGACCCTAATTACCAATACTACTCTGGGGGTTTCTTATGCAACCAGGAAGTCGGCTCCCAATCTCTGAAACCCTACTTAAAGGGATCATGGCACTAGGGTAAAATAGACCAAAAGCCTTGTAGAGTATGGTCTCTCGGCCCATAAGCCTTAATATATGAGTCCTTAGATCCCTACTTAAAGGATCATGGGACTCAGTAACTAGGGTTAAAAATAAGGCAACTATACGTATAATTGATTATAACCCCAATTAGGGTACTTATAACCTTACTAAGTCCCCTGATCCTCCAAGTAAACACGAAAAGCCTGAACCATCTCCGAAGCCCCTCCTCACTCCTTCACGTGGCTAGTTCTGGAAAATCGGGGAATCGGGTACCTTCTCCGGGTCTGTATTGTGGGTTTTGGGAGCTAAAAAGTTGCCCTAATCTAGAACTAATAATATGGGGGCCTCAATATTAGAATAGGGTTTTGGGGCATATTATACGATAAATATAAACAAGAAGCCCTCAGGAATAACATTGATAATTATTCAGGCCCTAATACGTTTGATGATATACATCCTGCATTACCCATATAAGGAATATACCATAATTCCAAAAGTTCAGGGGCCTTAAGGTAATGCACGATTTATACCATCAACAGTAGTACCCGGGTGCATTCCAAGTAGCTGCGACCCAGGCATCGGAGCGGAGGCTCATGGAAACGGCCGCCCGGTGCCGAGAGTTACCCCTGGGCACAGGCACGCCGCCTCAGATGATATCAACACCACCCTTCGATGCATCGCTTGTGACACCAACGGCCGTGGAGGAGCCTGTAGTGCTGAAGTATTCATGCCAGCATGCTTTCAAGCAACCCTACCCAAAAGGTCCTTCCCTACCTTTTTTGGAGGGTACCTACATGCCCACAGAACAGATCCTGACCATAAAACTCGGTACGCTGAAAAAAGGATAGGGTATGACCCACTGGGTCCACCCTAAACCCTACAACCCTACAGTAAGTGCTAAAACTCAAACAACCCGAAAGCACCGTGGCAAATCGCAGATAGAGTTTAAAGCTCTCTCGGGCCGAATTACGACTCGCATAGGCATAAATGCTTACATGCGTCCAGTTGTGCCCACGTTTATATACGTTGATGTATACCTCTACCGCATTTCTGCTTTACCAGAAATTACCCAGATGCAGCATATGTAAACGAAATACCCCAAGCCTTAATTTCATTGCACCACAACCGCTCGAAGTAATGATCCGCAGTCTTCAGGACAAAAGAGGAAGAGAGATTAAGAGATCTACCCAACAGCCGCTTTGCTGTCAGGTCTCTTGGCAGAGCAGGAGCAGGCACACGCTTCGCCACCACGTGGCCATTCCGCAAGAAGATGGCATAGTCATGCGAGTCTGGGTTCAGCGTCTCGTTGAAATGCTCCTCAAAAGGTTGCTATACCCCGCTTAGAACCATAATAAAAATATTATGTTTAATATTCTCTTGGGTTTCATATGAACCAAAGTAAAAATAATTCCTAAGGATAGGAAGAGTGTATATGCTCCAAGCACTCAGGCAGAGCAAGTTTACAGCTCACATGTTCAAGGGATGTTGTTTTAGGAGGTTGGGGTCTCCAAACAAAAGGGTAGACTCATCGGACATCTTACCCATACCAAAAAGCATGATCGAGTATGATGAGGCATAGATACTGTTGTCTTCTGGAGCTGTGAGGCTGCAGCAACACGAGACCACTCCCGAAAAAGGCATTCATTCTCGGCTTTTCAGGTTGAGGGTCTGGGAAGCCCATCCCAATCAGAAAGGCCGAAACAAATGTTGAACCCATCGGAAATGCCGAGGAAGCTCCCACAGCCAGCGCACCGACAATGCGATCGGAGGGTCCACGCGCAAAGCTCGAGAGTCTCTCAGAAACGGATCCCTTGGTTTTCGCAAGGCTTCTGTGGTGAAATGTCTGGTGAAGAATGCTTCTGTTTAGACTTCGGCTTAGGCTTTGAGGACTGGATCGCGCAAGTTGCAGATCTTGGAAATTTGATCCTGCGGCCGAATTGACTTTCAGTTTACGGGGTTGGGTCTAAGGGTTCGGTCTGCACAGGAAATCCGAGACGTCCGGTGTTGGAGTAGTCAGAGATTCCAACACCCCGTAATTAAGAAACATCCCATACACTATTACAGGAACTCTCATGTGAATTAAGGAGGAACATTCCTTAGTTAGGGGCTAAGAAGTCTCTGGGTAGTCAGCTCTTGCATTTAAACAGTGACCAAAGACAGGAGCAAAGCTTTCAGCTCGAAACCCAGGCTGCACAGTGCTGCACAATACGATACACTCACAGCAAGAGGGCACACTCAGAAAGGTGAACCGCATACTCTGCAGGAGATTAAAACCATGAGCCGTAAGCCTGTACATGCGAGGATCAAGTTGATCTGGCGCTCGACCACAATGCGGGCCCCCACATACCGAGAGGCTAGCAAGCGGCAGCCTCGCCACAGGACCTGTTCTGACTACACGCATGGCGGCCAGTTGGGGGGAATGAGTTGTTATGGAGCTTGCACGGGGCTTAGTTAAGAAATCCAGAAACCAGATTTTAAGGGCTTTCGCAAGCTCTGTAAAGTCTTGCCAAGCGACCTGCTCCCAATCCTTTGTCTCATCACCCAAAGCCATGTTTTCCGCCGATCGCTGCTCAGCAATTCTCCACATGCTCTCATGAGCTTTTTGAACGGCTTTGTCCATGAGGTCGCCGGGGAGCTTGAGCCTCATCAAAGCCTCCTGGAAGCTCGCAAGTGGCCTAGGTTCTTGTTAAGGGATTAAATGTAAATTGCCATCATAAGAAAACCTCGTTATTCCCTACAGATCCCTAATGTGGTAGCATAATCAAACTCCTTGTTAAGGAGTTTGATGTTAAGTTAACAAGAATCCAGTGGCTGGGCAATATCCACCGCAAAGTCTGGATCGTAGTTGTCGGGAGATGGGCCGAGCCGAGTCTTGAGCTCCAGCAGGGCTAATTCGGAAAGGCCTTCCACAAGTTCAAGGGCTACCATGCCAAAGGCTACTAGATGGCTGTCAGAAGGGTTAAGATTAGGTTACGATAAAGATCTATAAAGGCTACCGCAAGGTGACTATAAGGCTTACTTTCAGGATACTCTACGAGCTACGGCCAATACTCAAAGCGTAGTAATATAGGGGCCCTGATAATGAGAATAGCCTTTTTGGGGGTGGTATATGATACTATAGTTCTACAAATGAAATCCCCACAATAGTGTAGGTGACTATGTAGGCCTCTACCTGTCTGGTTCTTCGTAGGGAATGGGGGAATGGGTTACTGGGACTGTTATTGCTGATTACATCGGGACTACTATAGGGATCCATTCCCCCATTCCCTACTAAGCACCAGAGAGCCACAGTATATACTCCGAACGGCCTTCGACATGTCGCTGTAGCACTTGATGATGCAGACTGGGCAGCTCACACCTGAGAGCAAGTGGCGCTGGAACTTCAACCAAGAAACAGATTGAGACTCTGATCCAAAACCTAAACTCTCAAGCCAGGCATGGATGTGCAGCCATGCCGCCGACCACTCCGCTCGAGTTCTGCAACCAACTGCTCTGCGAGATCAGCCAAGATTGACCCAGCGAATCCTGCCACAACAAACAGACACACACACACACACACACACACACGCACGCACGCACGCACGCACGCACGCACGCACGCACGCACGCACGCACGCACGCACGCACACTCCAACCACAACGCGACACTGGCCGGTTTCGGCAGCCACTCGTAAGCCCAGCTTCAGCCGAGCAGGACGACCGATAACCAACTTTCCGTCCCTCCGAGCTTCGAACCCCTGAGCCGCACTTTGGCTGGGTTCTTGTTCAGTAGCTTAATATAAGTTACCCGAATAGGGATCTATTGTACATGATATGGTTTTCTTATATCATTATTATTATGATTAGGGAAAATTTAAACCAAATCCACCCTCAACCCTAAGCCCTTAACGAGAACCCAGCTTGTGCTCCCTATGCACAGATGAACAGCATGAACTCAGGTAGCCTTATGTCCTAATCCGACTTTTGCTTCCGAGCCTAAAATGATTGATACAGTAACTACCCTTTGTATGATCCAATGTGCTATGTGCTGTGATATATATGTATATACTATACGAAATACATATATACATGTATATGTGTGTATATATATAATTATATATATATATATATATATATATATATATATATCCGGAAGATCCCTGGCGCGAGCCCGGAATCCGTGAAGCCACGTCCGCCTTCCATGCGCTGCCCTGACGTTCCCACGATCTCCTTCAAGGCCTCTACGCTCTGCTTCCAGTCCTGGAGGCCGAGGGGTTTCATGAGAGTGGAGAAGTAGATGGTGCTTGGAGGATCAGGGGACTTAGCAAGTAAGGTCATAAGAACCCTAAGTAGGATTGTAGGTAACTATAAGTATAGTTACCTTATTTACAACCCTAGTTACCAAGTCCCATGATCCTTTAAGTGGTCAGGGCGCAAGCCTGCCAACACCGTTAACTAAAGCCGAAGTACCCTACGGTCCAAGCATTCGCTTGGCCGACTTATTAAGTCTGCATGAAAGGAGCAATGTGCATCACACCGAGCCTGCCCTAAACCCTAAACCCGGAAATCCTAAACTCTAAACCCTGAAACCCCAAACCCTAAACCCTGAAACCCTAAACTCTAAACCCTGAAACCCCAAACCTTAAACCCTGAAACCCTAAACCCCTGAAGCCCTATTAACCCTAAAACCCTAAACCCGGAAACCCTCCTGCCCCACGTCCGAAACATCCGCCGCCTAATCGAGGCTAAACCTGAAGTCCCCACAACAAAAACCCGTGAACACAAGGCTACCACCCCTTTGCCTCAGCTTGGGTTAGGAGACTTTTTTGGGGTCTATACCTAGAGACTCCACAACCTTTCATGAACCCTAAACCCTAAACCGTTTAAGGGGCTTGGGAGTCTCGGGGTGCCCTAGAAACCCCTATAGAGCCCCCACTTCGAGGATCAGGGGAGTTGGTAAGGGTTCTTAAAGGGCTCCTTAAAGGGATCTAAAGGGTTCCTCACAGGGATCTATAGGGTTTAGGGTTTAGGGTCTACTTGGAGGATCAGGGGACTTAGTAAGTAAGGTTATCAGTACCCAAATTGGGGGTTATAAGTAATTATAAGTATAGGTACCTTATATAGAAACCCTAATTAGTTACTGCCGCTCCTGTGAACTCTTGGACTTGTCGAAAGGGATGCTCAGAAAGTGCCTCTGCTCTTTTGGAAAGGCCCGAGCTATCCTCGGCACAGCAGGCTCAAGGGTGTAGGGCTCAGGGAGTTTAGGGCTCGGGGTTTAGGGTTCGGGGTTTAGGGTTAGGGCACCCCCCCATCCGACATGAGATGTCACTTCTGCATAGCTGCCTTTCAACAGGATGGCTGTCCGGGGATTCCAGTCTTCATAGATCGTTCCGGGTTGGCTTGTAGATCGTGGGCACGTGATACAGGAGCATTTAATGAGTAGAATAGGTCGTTGGGGGTCAATTGTCGTATAGCTAGCATAAGGAACTCGAATGAATAAAAGAGGTTTCTATACTAAACCCCTAGACAGGCCTTGTGCTCACTCTCTGAGCAACCCTCTAACCTATCTTGAAGACCCCTATTTTATATTGGTTGAACCCCACCCCCTGAAATAACAATCTCCTGCGCTGCAGAGCCTTCCCATGGGTTTGAGGGTTCTTGAGTTTGGTCTAGCTTAGGTTTTAGGGCTCTAAGGTTCTTTGGTCCTGGGGCTTTAACCTCAAAAAGTTGGAAACCGGATTAAGGACAAAGTGCTGGGATTCCCTGCACATTACCCTTAAGGATTGAGGCTATTGGGTTTCCAACTTTTGGGCTTCTACTGTAAGGCTCTGTGGGGTTTAGGGTTTATGGTTCAGGGACTCTGGCTCCCTGAATCTTCGGAACACCTTTGCCTGAGCACGAACTTGCGGATTTTTAATGGCAAAAAGACCAAAAAATGATGCCCAAAAGCACTAAGCATAAGGTCAGGCAAGAGGGCGCTTCCCGTGACTGTTGTCCAGCATCATCCGCCGAGGATTGCACCAGAATTTCCTCGAAAGCCTCCGGTGTGTACTCCACCGACTCCACCGTACACATGTTCACCTGGCTTCGGTTTAGGGTTTAGGGGTACGAAGGCCAGACACTTGAAGTGTAGGCTTGGGGGATTTAGGGATTGAAGAGACGGACCCTAGCACTTGGGGGATGAACGGTTACAAAGCTACCCCTGTAGAAAGGGCTACCGTGGGGCCTGCATTTGTGAAAAGACATGTTTCACTGTAGCGCAGGTGTTCATCTTCTTCTATCATGCTTTGACGGTTTGTGAAAAGTTCCATCATCTGCTGTCCTTTAACTTTTGTTGTGATGTAAGCATACATGTTGCATGTTGCTACTATTGTCTGTAGACACAAGCTATGGGTCAAACAGTTCTGCTGTTTAGAGACACTGCTGTTGATAAACAGGGCTGGTTTTATGAACAGGGCTGGTGTTCATAAACAACTGTGCCACGAGTGTTTGAGGGGAGCTGGGGGGAGGCTAATCCCGTAACACCTTGATTATTATCCGAGGCACCGTCCTTCGCCTGGCTTTGGGATTTAAACTTAAGCTTTCAGAAGAATACACTTGGCAATGGAAACCCAACACCCCAACCCCTAAACCCGAAAAGTGCCAGCCCTCAGATGGGGTTTCGGATTCAATGTGTAGTCTCGCCACGTAGAGCTCCACTTGCATTGGGCCGAAAGCTTATACTCTTCTCTGCTCCAAGAGTGTGGACATGTCGTAACATGCGGAGACGAATTCGCGACGCTGCAGGGTTCGGCAGTCGAAGCTGATCCCTAAGAAAGTGAAAGAAAAGCTAAACACGCAAATGCACAGAAACATAATATACCACAGTACACTGCATTCTAATATAGCTGACATGATATAGCAACATCTACATTACGATCCTGCAGACAGGCTGCAACAACAACCAGCTGCATCTTCTGCGATGTCAAACTCAACAGCTGCATCTCCGCCACTGTTCGCGCCAGCATGGACAGAGCATCCTGCCAAAGAGTTTTGAGCTCCAGTTTTGGAAGGGTTTGATTATGTGATGCTGTATACATTCAGTACATTACAGCACATTGAGTATATGAGAGAAGTGTATGTATGTCGGGTTCCCGGTTCAAGTTTTCCTGAGCATCCCGACACATGCATGTGAGCTTTACTTCCCAGCATTCCTTTCAACGTCTGCTTAGATCATGAAACATGCCTCTGTGCAGAACATGAGCACCCCAGCACCCATGATCGCGCCCGTTTACTTCATATGGACTGAGCACAAAATTGCGTTGCGTCACCATCCCGTCGATGCCTCTCTCAGTATTCCAGAAACCACGAAGAGCAAAGTGCGTGCCAGTGCACCTGCCGAGGCTTTGAATTCCGCACATTCCGTGCCTTTAGGTTTGTGTCTGGAACTGAGGGTTTGTAGGTCATGCAGGGTTTAGGGAGTGCTGCGTGGCCTGCCCAAAACCCTCGAACTTACACCCTAAACCTTAATGTCAAACGTACCCGCGATCTTAAACCCTACACCGTTTAAACCCTAAACCCTTAAACCTTCCAGACCTACGTCTGCCACGTGCTGACCAGCCCCCAAACCCACAGTCTCTCCCGACAGCTCTAAGGGTTTAGGGTTTAGGGTCTACCCTAAACCCTAAATTCCCTAAATAGCCCGAATGATTAGAGTGGGGAATTCCGGGTATGGTATAACTTACTTACAGTAGAAGCCAGAAAGTTGGAATATCATTATCATAATCCCTTTAAGGTAAATTATAGGGATCCTACCATTAATCCATATTCCAACTTTCTCGAGTTCCCTTTATAATAAGGAACCCCAACATGGGTTTGCTAATTATATTTTTGGATTCTGCTCTAACTCCGCCACCCGAATCCACATCCGATTATTCTACAGTATACCTCGTGAAACAAATTCTGCTGTCCTTTATTATATTGCAGAATGGTATAGTAAGTTATAAGCCAAACTAAGTTGTCATGGACTGCAAGAAGATCTGGTGTAGGTACACACCATTAGATGACTTTGACGGCCATGGACCGGATCCGGAACATACGGAACTTGCGCTTAGCCGCTCCTAGCACCAGAATAGAAATACAGTTCTTATTGATCCCATGGAGTTACATTGTCTGAAAAACAGATCATAATTCCTAAGAGCAGTAAAATGCAGCCGGTGCAGGGCGCCTCCCATCACCAGAACTTCTGGTCGGCTTGGAGCCTTTGCATTGCTGCTGCCTTCGCAGTCCATAACAACCTAGGCAGCAAGAGACATCGCTAAACCCTGACTGGCGAACCACCCTAAACCCTAAACCCTAGAGGAGCCCTAAACCCTAAACCCTAAAACCTAAGGAGCCTAAACCCTAAACCCTAAACCCTGAAGGAGCCCTAAACCCTAAACCAAAGCATGCTGTAAGCTGTTTGCTGATGGGGCTCGGGCCTGGGAGGCTTCTACTTGCAGGGTCGGCGGACTTAGTAACTGGTTATAGGGACTTATTAGTACCATAACCCCAATTAAGGTCCCTTTTAGGGTACTTATAAGTCTACTTACTACCTACTTACTAAGTCCGCCGACCCTCCAAGTAGGGTTCCGGGTCGAGCTTCCGCAAGGAGCTGGGGATTCTTCACTCCTCTACCTATGGATTCGAAGGATCCATAAAGGGTTTCCTTGAAAGGGATCCATAAAGGTTTAGGGGACTTCAAGGATCATGGGACGCTGTAGATAAGGTAGCTATGCCTGTAACTATTTTTAACCCTATTGAGGTACCTAGAACCTATAGGCCTCTGATCCTCCAAGTACCTAGGGATTCAATAATTGGGTATATACTCGGGTATAGGATACTAACTACAGTACTGTACCGATAGGCTAGTATGTGGGAGAGAAAATGGCTATCAGGTACTTCGGCTTTCAGGGTCTGTCCGGAAAATTGCAGCAAGGATCCATGAGAGAGTATGTCAAAGCATAGAATGATGCCAGCTTCACCGCATACATCCAGAATCCTCACGGAACCGACAACTCAATTCTCCTCCGTCATGTTTTTGTACCCTTCCTAAAGCGAAATGTCCTGCGTCGTGATCCTCTTGTTCTACCTTGCACCTGCCACAAAATGCCACAAAACCCAATGCCAGCGAAAGGGCTGTGGTCCCCTTCACGGCGACATCAATCCCTTCAGTCACTGCCGCAGCGGTCGCAGCCGTACGGAAGCTTTCCTGAGTCGAATTTACTAAATGTGGCTCCAGAGCCCTCAGTACACGCCTTATTCATCAACTGTCTGGTTCTTAGTAGGGTTTGGGGGAAGTTAGGTTTCCTTGAAAGGGTTCCTTGAAAGGATCAATAGGGGTTTCTAGGTATCTATAAGGGTACTGTAAGGGTCCGGTTCTTAGTAGGGAATGGGTGAATGGGTTATGGGGACTATTATTGGGGATTATACAGGGACTACTATCGGGATTCATAATCGAGGGATTGGGAGTCTACAATAGCATTATCATATAAGTGCGGCAAGGGAATCCTCTTACAAGTACCAAATGTTCGCACCACTAAGTATAGTTGGGTTTCACAGACCTCGGCATCCAGCCGCTAGTTTTAAGAAGCAAGCTTTTATGTAGCAAGTAAACACTACGCCTCATGCACTGGAAAGAAAAATCGACCCTAAACCTCAAGCGTCTCCTTCGTATCTCTATACCTCCGACAGGAAGCCCCAGACTCCAAACCTTGAAACCTCGACCCTAAACCGCGGCTCCTCCTCAAGGAGTAGGTTTGCCAGACAGCTCTTGCCCGAACGGCCTTCCTTGCAAGGCATTTAGGTTCAGGATTGAGTTTCTTGAAAGTAGGCGTATCAAATCAAATTTGCGAGGGTCCTAAGTCCTAAGAATAATGAGTGTTCAAGCTGTTCGGGCCTCTTGTCTATAACCCCATTAGAACCATAATAAAAATATTTTTTGAAAAGACTTTTGTGTTTTATATGAACAAAAATACAAAAAATCTAAGGAGACTACAGTTGTTGTACGAGGCTTAAATCCAAATGCGGACCTGCAAAGAGCACGGTAGCATTCAACTACCGTTTGGCTCCGTGGCAGAGCAGCACCAGGTGCATAGCATACGTATACATATGCTGTCACCGCAAGGGCAAGGCTGGCCCAAAACTCTAAAGGCCTGCTGAAGACAACATGGCATGGGTTGCATACCTGCATTGTTTTTCGTCTTCAAGTGCCCTGAAGCAAAACTTGCAAAAGCTCTCGGTGCCACAGTGGCGAACCAACATCGCTCGAGTTGCAGAAGACAAGTGAGGCTCCAAGCTGCTTGTACGCAGCTGCACCGAAGATCCTATATGCCGCCTAATTCATTACAATGCATACTGTGGTGTAGCAATGTTGTATACATATATATATATATATATATATATATATATATATACACAGTATATATTGACGTTGCTTACCATAGGGGATCCCTAATCCGGAACCGCCGAACTCGCCATCCGCATCTGGTAGCTCTTCTCAGGGCTAAGATTCCCCGACGACCGCCACGCAGTGCACGCCGCCCAGGGAACGGAGGAGCTTGAGACCCTCTTCTGCCAAGACTGGCCTGTTAGGGTCTAAGGGTTAGGACTTAGGGCGCAGAGCAGTCCATGACATTCGGGGCCTCCTAAGAACATGTAATTACTGCAAACTCCAGTGTAACATGCTGCAGTATGCCCGCACCTATCGTAAAAGGTCCCGCTTGCAGGACAGTGGTCCTAGGACTGCTTTGGCCAAGGTTCATATCGGGGCCTCAAAAAATTGGAATAGGGTTTTGGGGTATATATTCTCTGAACATGGTATGGGTAATTATGTAAGCCCCTAATCATACTATTCCCACATGGTCTACGCCTCCGAAAATGACCAGAGCTTCAAGTTTGGGCTTCGTCTACAAAGCTCGGGGCATCTGACTTTTGCACCCGAGCCCGAGCCTGCCCTTCTGAAAGGACAAGAGCTTGTGCGATCCCGCATCCACAAGGGCCATGGCCAGTAGTAGGCAAATAGCATGCGCAAACAGCAAGGCAGATGACCTCACATAGTTTAAAAATCCGAAGCAAGGGAGCAGCACGTGTCAGTATTTTGGGCAGAAGTGTTCGGGTTGTTGCCGTGTTCTATGGGTGCACCTCATCCAACATGTCGAGAGACATTCAAACCCTACGGCGCAGTATTCTCGAGGATCCTAGAACAAAATCTTGTTTAACCAAAAGGAACTATAGGTAGAGTGGAATCCAAAAACCAATCAAGAGGCGACTGCGAGACACCATCTTGCGAGGTGCGAGCACCCAATGCTTCATCCTGGTTTGAGTCTAGCTGACCTTGGGCCAGGAGGGGTGCAGACTCTGGCAGGTGCAGGGGATGAAAATGAAGGACTGGGGAGTATGTGGCATGTGGAAAACACACGGAGCTGATGAGTTATGTTTCCGGCACACACACACACAACACACGAAGACACGAACAGCCCTGCAACCGTACTTCAATAATGGAGACATGCTGCAAGTGCACTCACTGAAACAGAGCTAGAAAGCGTACTCATGCAGATTCTCTAGGCACTGCACAATTGCAAAAGACCAAATCTTGAAAGCCTATGTTCTCTTCGTCCCTCTTGCGAAACTTACTTGCAAGTGTGCTTACTTGCTTTTGGCACGTAATAGACGTAATATTTTCACCTCTCTGTACTGTGGAACCCAATCAGCTGCCAAGCAAACCAGCGGACATGCTTTGCAGTTTTCAATCGGATCTCGAAGGCACAACGCGTTCTTCGCCGGGTGGTCAAGAGCTGTGGCATGACTGGTGCAATCTGCAAGGGTTTAGGGTTCAGCACCCACATTACGACCCTATCAGTCATTATGACGGGTTTACGGTTGAGATTTCGGGCTTTGGGGTTTAGTAGCATGACGCTTATAGTCCCAAAGGGTCGGCTGAGTACTATCCCGGAGATTGAAACACAACCCTAAACCCTTGAACCCTAAACCCTATAACCGTATCATCCTATAACCCGATAAAACCCTAATGTACGGACCTGATTAAGAAACCGTGCCCCTATAACCCCAAGATAGTAGGATTCAAAGAAGGAACCCTAATACAGGGCCAAGGTTTCTTCGTAAATCAGGTTCCGACATTACGCTATTGCGGGGGTTTAATTGTTATAGCTTATTTACTAGCAGGGTACGTTAGAGGGTAGTTTGGGGGGTCTAAGTATGAAATCCTATACGATAAGACCCTAAACAAAACTCCATTGAAACCTCTTGAGGTTGCATCTGCCACGCCTAATAATTTCCTCAGCACAGATCCGACTTTTGCTCCTTCCAAACCAGGAGTCTTGAGGTGCGGGGAGAGGGTTTAGGGTTAAGGGCTCCCGAGAGACTCTTACATACTTGTCTTTTATCCTAAAGGAACTGAAGGTACCCCAAAAACATTATGGGTTACATACTCTACTACCGCGGACTACAATGAAGCGGCTGTGCAGGTGGCCGTACTCAAGGTGTCACAATTTTCCCTGTGGACAATGGGACTGCAGGTGGGAGGGCTGGCTGCTTGCAATCTTCACCCCAATCGTTGACTCGCCAGGGCGTGTCCTTTCCACAAGACCGCCAAAATGCCTCTCAGCCTTATAATTAGGGGTTCCGCCCACTAACTTTCTAGGGCGCACTTGTCATCGACTGAGAACAACAGAGAAACTCATCGCAGGACCATTGCATGCCATTGCTACGTTCTTTCCCAAAGTTCCGAGAAAAGTCGGAGTCCGATCGTGCTGGCGTATGCACAAGAAACTCACCCGAGTGCCGCATGCCGTTTGATGGCTCAAACGAGCCTGAATGGATTGAGAGGCGTTTAAACGGGGCGATAATAATTAGAATAGAATTTGGGGATATATTGCCCTACATGCACACTTGTAGTAAGGAAGCGAAAGGAATCACTGTTTGTTTGTTCTGGAATATGTTTTGGCCTATAAAGAGATTTGGCCTACAGATGAAGTACACTTTTTGGATACAGCATCACTATGCAGATTCAGGGCCTAGATCTCAATTCTCAACTCTAAACTGAGCATTCGGGGTTTGGTGTTGCGCAAGTCGACGTCCTCCGTAAGACCATTAGGGTCTGCTCCATGTAACACCCATTTAAGGGTACAAAGATGGTCCCCCCGGCGACGGGCGATCACACCAATTTCCCGGAAATCAACAAACTTCAGCCCCTTATGTGGAATAGCATTACGACGTATTCAGACCCAAAATTTTGTTATCTTTCATGACCCGCACGTTTTCGAAACTCAGCCAGTGCCCACACTATCATCGGCTACCCACTACGACCTTGAAGACCCTCCAAAAACACTGAGATGAAGGGCTTGCCAGAGCCGAAACTCCCAGGCACTGGGCACGGCACCTTTCAGCAGCCCAAGCTGCTGCCATTTTGCGCCTGCCAGTAGGGTTCAGGTTTAGGGTTCAGCAACCGGTCAGCGACCAAACACCCAGTTGTTGCAGAGTCGATTTTCGACATTTCTAAGCGAGAAACCCTATACCCTAAACTTACTAAGCCATGAAAACCCTAAACCCAAAAACATAAAAAAAAAACTAAAACCCTGAAACCCCTAGAAACCATGGAACACCCCTAAAATCCCTCAAATAGAACCCCCCAAACCCTAAAGCCTAAAATCCCGAAAACCTAACCACACTAAAAATCATTAGAAACCACCCTCATTAGAAACCACCCAAATCCTAAAATCAAAAACCCGTCGAAAATCATCGAAAACAACCAAACCTCTATTGTTTCAACACATTACAAACACTAAACCCTAAACCCTAAACCCTAAAGAAAAAAAACAAGGCTGAAGCGCCTGAGGTCTTTGGCCCAGGCAGAGCGCTAGGAGCTTTGCCGCCTCGCGGAGCGTCTCGGACTCCCCCTGCGTTCGCTTGGGGGGCGCTTAAGGGCGTGCTAAGGATTCCTTCAATTAAAGGGTACCATAAGGGTTTAGGGTTTAGGGTTTTAGGATTCCTTGAATCTTCTGCTCACTTATGAACTTTGGGGGTTTCGGGTTTTAGGGTTCTCTATAGGCTTTAGGGTTTTAGGGGTTTTGGATTGAGGGTTTCGGGCTTTAGGGTTCTATAGGGTTTAGGGTTTTAGGGCTTTTGGTTTTAGGGTTTGGGGTTTTAGGGTTTACGGCTGCAGGGTTTGGGGTTTAGGGGTACCGTAAGGGTTCTAGGGGTGTCTTCAGGATTCCTTTAAAGGATACCGGAAGGGTTCTATAAGGGTACCTTCTGTGTTCTATAGAGTGTAAAATATATATGGGTCTGGAGAACTCCTTTAAAGGCTACCATTCCGGTTGTATAAGGGTACTATAAGGGATTTCTCAGATTTAATTAAGGCTTAAGGCCTCTAAGGGCCTAGAGGTCCATATATATATATATATATATATATATATATATGCTCACCCCCCCCCCCATGACAGACCACGGGTCTAAAAAACACCGTGCAGGACGATATTCTATGAAGCAAAACCGGTACATGAGGTATATAGTATATTTACATGTAACATGCCATGTACTCAGGACACATGCAGAATGAGTGAGCGTAGCGGCGATGACGACGAACGGCGAATCCAAAACAGATCGCAGCTGTCAGGCGCAGTTGTTGAGAGAGAGTTTCGACACGCATTGAATTTGAAGCACAAATCGATATGTTCGCGATTGCAGCCACATTGAGTATCTCGCAGTTACAAGCCATCACGCCCATCCCCCGTTCAAGTGTCATGGATCCCGAGAACATTACTCTCGCGAACGCGACGGAGGCCACCTCGGACTTGTGGATACGTGTTCTACCGCAACATGTAAAGGTCGGTCCTATGCCGGCAGGTCCCGTATCTCCCTTGACACTTCCTATTCGTGAGCTTGAATCCCGCCCTGCGACCCTCAAGCATTTCCTCGACATCATTTACGACTTCGAGGGACCCATCAATCACGATCAGCTAGGCCCCATCCTTCGAGATCAGGCTTGGGACGAGCTGCCAGCCCCATTCGGATTCCAGAAGAAGCTAGAGGTGAAGTTCTTGATGCAAGTTTTTATCCGCACCCAGGCAAACGGCAAGCACTGCATCGTGAAACACGTTTTCCTTCCCGACAACAAGATCAAAGCTTCACTCGTAAGTGGTTGTGGCTATGGAACCCTTCATGAGGTCGTGTGGGGACACAATCCGAAAACTACAAAAAAGGCTCTGCAGTTTATGTTGGAGCAGATGGGCGGTATCCAATACAGACTTTTTGTTCTTGCCCCTGAGCAAAAGAAGAAAGTAAAAGCTGTAATGGAGAAATCCGAGGAGGAGCTGGAGAAGGGGTTTCAGTACATCCGGGAGCATGGTGAAAGGGATAAGGGGAATTTGAAACAGCTTCTATGGATCCAGAAGAACGTCGCGGCAAACTCACCAATAAAGGGTTGGAAAGACGGTCTTGTGCAACGGTGCCTCGATAGCTTGGCCACCGATGCAACCATGGCGGACTTGATCACCCGGTCCGACTTGGTTATTTCTGACTTTGAAGATGAAATCCAGGATCTCTTTTTCAAGATTGTGCCCTACCTCCGCGAGCATGCTATTTGGGTATTGGGAGAACCGGGGAAGGGCAAAACGCCGTTGGGAAGGGTTTTAGCCATGATGTTCAGTCGTTACCATGGCGGGGTGGGAAGCTACCGCAGCGGTAGTGACTTTGACTATTTCCGAGGATGCCCATTTTCGACAGCTGTCCCAGCCATTTACGACGACGGGGAGATCGGGTTGGAGCCGGTGAAGAAAAAAAAGGCGTTTTCGGATGTTGCGGATACCGAGACACTCACCCGTGAACGGTGGACAGCAGCGAAATTTAAACAAAACCAACTTCGTGTAGTCATCGACAACGCCTACGAGCGGGTGCAGGAGCCAGAGATTGTGCCGGGACCCAACCCAACCATCTCACACGACGACTTCGTTAAGATGATCCGCCCAGCACTCGGAAACTTATTTTGATTGATGGCGCGCACGGTTTCGGTACTTGTTCATGATCTGTATCTGTATCAGTTGTATTATTTTATTAACACGTAGTACTAGAAGACGAATGATAGAATCGAATTGTTTTGAAAGATCGTACAACTTTTCGTGCTTTATTAACTTGTATGTTGTGTGGGTTTGGGGCATAAAATACACACACACACACACATACACACGCACACACACACACACACACACCTAGCATTCAAAGGAGACATTTCCTCAGTCGACACCATGGCAATCTTCAAGCGGTCCGTATTCTTTCTCGTCACTAAGACCTCCGTCTACTGGCGCTTGCCCGGTCCCCTTGAGAAGCCTATCAATCGCAAAAGTTGGCTTCTTCCTGACCTCATCAAAGCAAGTGCCAAGCCCATCATTGCTAACTTCAAAAGGAAAGGCCCCCCTCCCGCAAATCAGGAGAGTCGGATTCTTTGGGAAAATGCGTGGTTGCTCGAGGCCATTCGTCAGCATGACCATCCAGATCAAGCCCCCGTTCCTCGACCTTGCCCGGAGTCTATTCGTGTGAAGAGGGAGCGGTTGGCATTCGCGCAGTCGCTTTCTTCGCAATCGGTTCGTGCACCCATTGAGTTGGATTCCCCATCACCGGCAAAGAGGGCGAGACAGGGTGAATGCAACATCAGGAATCCGGATTTCGCAGGCTTGCCCCCCAACCCCGACGCGGATGAGGAGCTGCAGAGCAACAATGGCGGTGATAAGGATGACTTAGAACAGGAGCTTGAAAAGATTCTCGAGGAGAAGTCCCAGAAATCGGATGATGAGATGGATGTGGTGGAGTCAGCGTCCTGAGGGCCAGTGCGCATGCAGATAACGTCATAGCTTAAAGAGTTGTGCAAAGGTCAAGAACCGCCACTTCCAAAACATATATTCCCCCACTATGTTATGATAAGACTATATTAACATTTACATGTTTTGGTTCAAAGAAATACTGCAACAGATCGGTACTGACGCAACCCGATGGTCGTGGCCACCGCAGGGAAACATTTTGATGCCGGTTTCTCTCCATCGCCTTTAGTTTGATGCTCGCAGGAAAAAATGAATGCTCATGCATGCTGTGCTCGCAGCGGTGCGGGACTAAATACTTCGTTCTAATCTTCAAAACGTAGCAGATCTTTCGGCTTCAATTTGGTCTGAACTCCTACTCTGGTTTCACTTCTACTGAAAGCAGTAGAACATTTTCCATGACCAAAAAAAGCTACGCCAAAAACACGAAGAGCAAGACCAAAGGACCGTGGCCGGTGCCAAAGCGTGGGAAGATCAGAGCAGCATTGAAGAAACCATCCATCAAGAAGAAGACCTACACCCCCACACCATATGTTCGGCATGGACAAGTGACCGTCAAATTTCGTGCACATCGTGAACGATGGGGTCGCTCAATCCAGTCTTTCATGAGCATGTCCTATCCGGAGTTGGTTCGGGTCTTGCAGAAGGATAAGATTTTGCCAAATTGGGAGGGTCAGCTCTGTCCTCGATGCGGTAACGGTACCTTGGGGAAGCTCAAGTGCACGAAAGCCCGGAATGGTTGGTTGCATCAGTGCAGTGGGCGTGGGTGTAAGCAGTATCTTCAGGTGGATGACTTTCACCCCATCTTCTTTCGTGGGAGTGGAAACTCAGTAACTCCACTGAATGTGCAAGCCTCCATTCTGTATGCGGCCGTGGCAGGTGTTTCTATGCAAGCAACACACCTGATTTTGGATGTCGACCACAAACCCGTCGAGCGCATTTTCCACAATCTGGAGGTCGCTAGGGCGCGTTATGTACAGCGTGAGGAGAAGCACATCGTGTACGGGACCAGCAAAGGTGACACATGGATGGACGTTGAGGCGGACGAGGTTGATTTGGGAAAAGCGTTGGAGGAGGATGATGAAGGCAAGGGCAAGGTAGTGCGGTGGGAGCAATGGTGTGGCATCGTGGAAAGGGGTCGTCCATCTTCCTTACGACTAGTCCGCCTGAACCCTCCCACTACGAAGACCCGAGCGCCAGGACCAGGACCCATTCGGAAGTATGACTGGAAAAAGATCGGAACCCCCCTCCTCTCAAATCGCCAAGTTGTTCTTCATACCGACGGTGCCCGAGCGTACAAGCTGAAGCTTCCAGGACTTCTCCATTGCAATGTAGTGCACAAGAAAAAAAAGACCATTGTCAACAAGAAGGTGGTTACGTACATTTTCTCGTTTATGGCTTGTATAGTATGATATTATATGAAATTATAGATACAGAATCATTGTAGGAATCATGCAATCGCTTCAGGTCGTTTGGGTGAAGCCGCACTACACCAAGGTGCACAAGCTCAAGCTTCCTAACAAGACGATCTTGAAGGTGAAGTCGGGAACACAAATCATTGATCGATTTTGGGCACATGTGCGAAACCACATCAAGCACACCCCCCGCGCACCCGGTAATCATGCACTGACTCGCAAAATTCGCGTTGCACAGTTTACATACTGGTTCAGAACCAAGAATGCTTGGACCACCGCCGGCATGATGCTTGACACATTGTCCCATGCGTAAGTCTCACCGCCCACGGCCGATTTACATCGCATCTGTAGTGACCGTAGTGTTGCGTCAGAGAGTTTTGGAAGGTTTTGGGAACACAGGAGCGCGAAAAGAAATGCATGCAACATGAATGCTGTCCTAGTCTTGCAATGTGCCTGCTCAGTGATGCCTCGCCTTACTGTGACGTCATTTTTGGCTCCGAAAGTGACACTAGTTCTGGTCCGATGCGGAGACTAGCACGATAAGGCGCGCGGGCGTCCTACCAAGAAAGGAATTACAGAGTACACGTGTATGGATGAGGGTTGTGCTGATACACTACATAGTAAGCACTACACAGTAATATTACTTGAGTCATATATAGAACAGTTTGCAGCATTTCCAAAATTTCCAAAATTCCATCCCCTAACTTTCCGGATTTCCAAAATTTCCAAAATTTCCAAAATTTCCAAAATTTCCAAAATTTCCCGACCTAGTCGACAGGATTTTTCCAAAACATAAGGGCGGACTTTTTGGAAATTTTGGAAATTTTGGAAATTTTGGAAATTTTGGAAATTTTGGAAATCCGGAAAGGTAGGGGAGAGAATTTTGGAAATTTTGGAAATTTTGGAAATCCAGAAAGTTAGGGGAGAGAATTTTGGAAATTTTGGAATTGAGTCTTTGAAAGCTGAGTGCCCCCTCCCCCCGATGACAGGCCATGCACTACGACTGAGTTGAAAGGGCATGGTCTGTCATGGGGGGGGGGTGACCATATATATATATATATATATATATATACCCACATAGTATAAGCTGATATACGTTTTTTCTTAAAAACGTCCCTACATGGGTACTGTGGGGCCAGAGTATATACTGTTTCGGTACATGGACCCTCAGGGGTGGGGATGAGGGCCTTATTAAGGATCATGGGACTCAGTAACTAGGGCTAGTTATAAATGAGGTAACTATACACCGAATTACTTATAACCCCAATTCAGGTACATACAACCGTACTTATAATCTGTTCTCTGATTCTTGAAGCTGGACATGTGGCTTAGGTGTTGCTTCATGGGGTTTCGGGTGTACGTCGGCGGGGCTAAGTTCCTGCCAGAACCCCCAAGCACCCCAAAGCAGGGATCATCGGGATGATAGGGATCGCAGGGTTTGGGGTTTATAATGGGTTCATCGAAAGTTGCATAGGTTCATGCGCGCTCCATTTCAATGAGGGTTCCTTTTGAGGTTCCTGTAATCCAAGGGTTGCTATGAAAGTTGGTTCTCTGAAGGATTCTGTTTTACAAGGTGACCAGAAGGGTTCCCCTTCAGGATCCGGCAAGGTTTCCGTGAGGCTGCCTCATAAGGACGTGGCTTCTTGGTTCTAGGGCTTCTGGCCTTAGGGCTGCGGTTTTTGGGGTTTAGGCTTGCCTGACGAGTACGTATACTAGGGCAAGTGAAGTTTAGCTTTCGGGATTTGTAACAAGGGGATTACAGTACCAAACTGTACTTACTCTGCTCCTGAGGCAGGGTCTTAGAGCAACCTTATATACATATACATATACATATACATATACATATACATATACATATACATATACATTACATATACATATACATATACATATACATATACATATACATATACATATACATATACATATACATATACATATACCAATACAGATACAGATACATATACAGATACATATACATATACATACACATAGACATACACATACACATATACATATACATATACATATACATATACAAATACAGATACAGATACATATACAGATACATATACATACACATAGACATACACATAGGCATATACATACACATATACATATACATATACATATACATATACATATACATATAGATATAGATACATATAGATATAGATACATATAGATACATATATATATATATACGTATGTGAACATACGGATGTATATACACACATATATATATATATATATATAGATATACACATACACACTTATTGATTGTTTGTCTTCTTGAACTATGGATGAGATCTCGAAGTCCCCGAACTGAGAGCAGAAAACGCTGAGCAAACACAGCTCGGACAACCTGAACTGCCCGAAATCATCATGCCGAAGCAGCTCCGAAGCTTCTCGAGTTGAAATGCACCAGGCCAAGAATGCAAGCCCGAAGGCTCCATGTAATGTAGCTATATAATATGTAGTATGTACTTAGGCCTTAAAAGTACCTATAGTGGGACCCCTGTAAGGCTTAAGTATCTACTATAAAGGTACATGGAGGCTTTGAGAAGAGAAGGACCCTGACACGGCACGAAAGTCTAGACTGGGAAAATAGACGGAAGGCTCAACACTCCCTTGTCAAGGTGCACCTCGAAGCGATAGACACCCTGCGGGCGGATCGAGAGGCACAGAACCTGTCACGTAGGTGTGTCCAAGGCTTATTTAGAGGATCATGGGACTTAGTAACTAGGGTTATAAGTAAGGTAACTATACTTATAATTACTTATAGCCCCAATTGGGTACTGATAACCTTACTTACTGAGTCCCCTGATCCTCCAAGTAGTGTTTAGGCAGGGATCCTTCGGCTCTACACACCGTTGATGCTCGTGAGGTTCGACTTGTTCGAACGGGACGCTTGCGAGCGATTCGGGTGCCAAAAGCCGGAACATGAAGTAGCTTGGAGGATCAGGGGACTTAGTAAGGTTATGAATACTTTAACTGGGATTATAGGTCATTATAAGAATAGTTACCTTGTGAATAACCCTAGTTGCTAAGTCCCATGAGCCTTTAAGTAGCTTGACGCAGCTGTGTGTCGCTCATCGCTTTGGGGTTTTAGGGTGCCACAGCCCTAGCTCACGAAGGAGTTCCGTACAAATGGCTCAGAGCACCCATGCCCTGCACTCCCAAGGGGCCAGGCAAGGCTGAACAAATACCAATACCATTCCCTATAGTTCACGGTCTTCCTGTAATCTACGCCGCATACTCCATGCCCCCATACTATCAGCTCTCCCCCTGTCAGATTGAACTGAGGGAAAGACAGTCAAACGATGCAGCAATGTAGGGGGACTGGTCTATACACTGTAGTAGCCGTGAAACCCACTCGCAAACACCGACGACTAGCGTTGCGATTTGCTGTGGATCCAGATTCAGCTGAAGGAACAGAGTCGCAGAACAAACGAAAATTTGTTCATACTCAACCAACCAGCATCACACGCAAGAACCAACGGTCTTCAAACTTAGACCTCGACCCCCCCTAAACCCTCAGCCCTACACCCTTGAACCCTAAACCCGTAACCCGAAAACTCGAAGCGAATGACCACTCTGAGAGACGCCTCGCTGTGAGGAGATTTGGGTCGCTGGCTGAGCCTTCAAAGGCGTCGTTGAGACTTAAGAAAGGGGCCTGAATAATTAGAATAGGGTTTTGGGGCCCGTTATACTAAAACTATAATGAGGACCCCCCCAAAATAGCATAGGTAGTTATTTAGGCCCCTATATTAGAGACTTACGAGCCCGAAGCTTTAAGTGCCCTCAGAACCGGAATAGAACTGGCACCGTGAATGGGTTCAGGGTTTAGGGTTTAGGGGTTCAGGGTTTAGGGCTTATAAAGGGTTTACGGTTGGAGTTTTACTGCACCAATAGCGCTCCTATGTGCGCAAAAGAAGTTTCTGTACATGCTTGGCACCTGCTAAGGGAGCTTTCCATCACCGCTGATGCATGACTGTAAGGGGCTTGCAAGACTACACCAGTCCAGCACCCCTCGCCCCTGTCCGGGCAGTTTGGCAGGATTCTGCAATGAGACTGCTTTCGCGAAGCAACCCTAAACCCTAAGCGCCCCTCAACCCTAAAGCAAAGCCCCAAACCCTAATCCCTCAAGAAGGATCTCATGGGGCATAGTAAGTGGAGTCATCATGTAAGGCAGCCGCGAAGAATGACTCGTAAGCCCAATTAAGGTACTTATCACCTTCCCCACTAAGTCACCGAAACACTGGGCCCTGAATCCTTGCAAAATCCTTATATTTAATACTGCCTTATTTATGAGCCTTACATAAAGAATCATGGGACAAAGTAACTAGGGTTATTAATAAGGTAACTATACATATAACTCCAATTAGGGGACTTATAACCTTACTGACTAAGTCCCCGGATCCTGCAAGTATCAGTCCCCAAATCCTCCAAGTACTGATGACAACGATCGAACATCAGGCTTCACCTCCGTTTTCGTACTCCTAGTGTTGACTTGGGAGGATCAGGTGACTACGTAAGCAAGGTCATAAGTACCGAAGATGCATATGTTCGCATGGTTACCTCATATATACCCTTGTTCATCAGTCCCATGTCCTTGAAGTATAGGTTTGGGGTTCTGGGTTGGGGATCGGGATTTAGGACAGAGGGTACAGGGGCTAGCCCTGCAGCATGATCTCGCATGTGATCTCTGTCAGCTTTTCATCCAAGCCAGCTGGATGGTTGTCAAAATGGGGGTCCCTTTGTGGGTAGCCTAAATGATAGGTGCCGTATTATCATAGTGACCCAAAAAGGACCAACATTTTGACAACCACCCAGCTCTGAAACAGACGGTGATGTGCTCTCGAGAGTTTGGCGAAGCTCCATGCCAGACGCCACTTTGAGAAGTTAGACCCAAGAGTAACCTAGGAATAAAAAGGGCGACCTTCTTGGTTTAAAAGGGACTTATTATAAGGGAACCTGGACCCTTCAAAAGGGAACAAAGGCCTACTCTAGGCCCTAGGAAGTCTCGAAATCCCCTGTCCCCTACAACAAAATGGCACTGTTCTGAATCCCTGAAGTCACCCTCGCGGCCCCTCCGCTTTCTTGTGGTGCGCCTGAAGCTTATGGTCGGCACGGTTGTTCGCCGCGCAGCTTCCTGCGATTGCGCGAAAGTGTCCCTAAAAGCTTCTGTCTGGTGTGTGCTTCTGTTGATGATATAAATCCTGCATTACCTTAAGGACCCGAAACTATGGGAATTATGGTATATTCCTTATTATGGGTCATGCAGGATTTATATCATCAACCGTTCAGAAC